TAATAAACCGAAGACTTCGTTGCAAAGGCCTGCTTTTAAAAGGCCTACGTTATCTCAATGTTGTGTGATTTTACAGCCAGTTAAATGTCAAGTTTCATTTTTGCTATTTGCGTGTAATGACTTTTATCTAATACATCTTCATTCTAGTTTTGCGCAGCACGCTCTAGGGCCCCATCACTCACCATCAGCCGACCTGACCAGACATTTATCATGATAATTTGGTGAAGTGCGAACATTCTGTCTGAAAATTCCCCAATGCTAATTTCCATCACGCATGTAAATGTTAGAAGTGGTCACGCTGATAAATATTGAATTAGTATAAAAGAACACCTCTGAATGTAGAAAAATGCATTATGGGCACTGATGGTGAAGTCGTGGCTTCTATCAATCACAAAACATGCAAACAATGTTTCTTTCGTTGCAAAAACACAATGGTGGGAGAAAATCATCAGTCATGATTGGTATTAGTTTCAGTTTCAGTTTACTTTTTTGCCATTCAAAACATCATAATTGTAATGTAGAATGAAATCACGTTGCATGGAACCTAGAAAGAACATAAAAAACACTATAAAAACCCAACATAAAAATAAGCTTTTGTAATTTCATAATTATATATAAATATATCTATATATAAAATAGAAACCAATTAAAAAATCACCAAAGGTATTAAATAAATACTTAAATACTTATTGCAGAGTTTGTAATAATATTTACAATTTGTGTTATGGTATCTTTACAGTTTTCAAGTGTAAGACTATAAATCATAGGTCTCAAACTCAATTCCTGAAGAGGCCGCAGCTTTGGACAGTTTTGCTCCAGGTTGGAGTCAGGGTTGGAGCAAAACTGCACAGAGCTGTGGCCTCTTCTGGAATTGAGTTTGAGACCTATGTTATAAATAAATAAAAATCTGCAAGAAATCAAACATATCGCCTATTGGTTTATTATTAAAGTAAAACGGTACAAAACTTTAACTATAGCTGTTTTATATGGCAAAATATATTTAAAAAATCTATTTAATTTAGTGTAAAATGTCATATGTTTGTTGACTCAATCAAGTCATCATGGTTTAATAGGAAACTGCTTAGCATTAATGTGACAAGAAAACCATAACAAAGGAAATGACATCATAGATGGGACGCATACAATGTAAAACCCAAAATGTTAAGGTAACTCAAACTGTCTGAGGAAACCGATTGCTACAAACCATTTAAGTTCAAAAACTAATCCTAATGAGTACTGTGAACTTAATCTGTTTGAGTTAACGAAGCAATTTGAGCACAGTAAAACCCAATAAATGAAGAGAACTCAAACCAACTGAGTACTCTAAAACCCAATAAGTTATGGCAACTCAAACAGTTTGAGGAAACCGATTGCTACAAACCAATTGAGTAAAAAAACGAATCTATATGAGTACTGTGAACTTACTCCATTTAAGTTGAATTAATGAGGTATTTAACAAACCCATTACCTTTAACACTGAGTTCAAAACTCTTTTCACAAGAGTAGAATTAACTTTCAGTCAATTTTGAGTTAACTGCACTCATTTAATTGATAAAGTTGACTGTTGGGTTTGCAGTGTAGTCATGACTCTGTAAATGTTAGCAAGTGTCTTAAAAATAAGGTAAACCTCAAAGCTATTTATTTTTATTAAAATAAATATGTCATTTAAAATTTATTCGATTAAAGATATAATCATGTTTTGATGAAGATAGATATGTACAGACTCAGAGGAAAATACTTTTTTTAATCTTATGAAAGTGCAACCTTTATTGTACATTTAAAAAAACGGTAACACTTTACAATTAGAGTACATGAATAATCATTTATTAATATGCTAACTAAACATTAATTTATTATGAACTAATGATGCATTAATGTATGCACTATCAGCTAACTTTAACTACAACATGAAACATGAGTTAATGTGTGAATAACGGCTACTTTAATTACTAGTACACTGTAAAAAAAAAAAAAAAAAAAAAACATAATTTACTGTTTATTTCCTGCAGCGAAACCGTTTAAAAAATGTAAAATGGGAGCTGTTAAATTGCTGAAATTTACTGTAAAATATCAGACATTAAATTTCTGTAATTCGACCTCTGTTATTTTACAGTAAATTTCTGTAATTTAATGTCCGATATTTTACTTTTTTTTCGGCACCCCAGCTGCCAGAAATAAATCATAAAATTACGGATTATTTTTTTTTTATATTGTACATGATTGTTTGCTAATTCATGTAATAATTGCCACAAAAGTTTATGCTTAATATAACCATCATGAACTCCTAACATGTTAATGTACAATTGTATCATGACTTTACTTGGAGGGGCACATCATTTACTCATTCTTAACTACTCATGAACTCCTTATGCACATCTGTCTTGAGCGTTTACACTGAATAACAATTGAAAAATGTTCAGTCAACATCAGGAGTTCAAGAGTAGTTAAGGATGAGTTTATGTGCCCCTCCAAGTAAAGTCATGACATAATTATATATAATTATGCTATTTACATATTAACACATCATTATTCATGTACTTATTGAAAAGTGTTACCAAAAAACTACATCTCCCTACACTATATATAAAAATCTTCACCTTTAATCCTCAGTGATGCTTTTGTTATATATGATAAAGTGTAGCAGAAGTTTCAGGAAACTAGACCCCTCCTTCTGTACAGTTACATATCCTGTTTTTGTCTTTCAGTTTTGGACAAATCTACAACATTGATAGCTGCAGAAATGTGTATGTTCGATATTTGATGTTGTTAGTCTTAATGTACATCTCAGTTTCATCATACACGTTTACCCTTTTGTTTTTCACCAAATAATGTGTTAAAAATCTGTTTTAATTAAAACAACACGTTTGAATCACTCTGTGTGGTCTTTGACCCATTTAACACTATATTTTGTGTTGTGTTAAAGGAAATCAGTCTATGAGGTTTCTGTTTGCAGGACAGGAAAGAGGCCCTTCACCCACATGCCACGTATCTCACTTGAAGACGGTCGTCCATATATCAGACCAAAACCACATTTCCTTCCATAGATAAAGGAATCAAGCCTTTTTCGAGTTTCGATTTGACTAGACCTAACATGAGTGTTAAGAAAAATGAATAAGGTGGAATCAGTTCGCAAGAAAACCAGTTGTGTGTGCCCACAAGAAACACATGCTTATAATCAGGCCACTATAGTGTTTTGAACCACAATAATAACATTTATCATATTTACAACTCTGTTCTTAAATGATCCAGCATTCTGCGCAGAATTAACTATAGTAAACAATTCAGTGGATGCAGTTCACAGAACAAACGTAAAGTAAAAAGTACTTATATTCAGCCCACATAGCAAAGAATTCTGGCCCAGATTTGGCATAAATCTGGCACAGGAGGCATTTATCCAGCGCTGATATACAGCATGTGGGCCAAACATGGCCTGGGTTTGGCAGAGGTGGCACTGTCTTTAAGGCGACACACAATACTTGGGGCAGATGTAAATTGTAGTATTTGGCCCACATGTTTATAATAGATATGTGGGTCATGTAAGTTTGGCCTATCTTGAGCCACATTTTAAATACATTTTTATTATTTTTAAATAAGGAAAAAAATCAGGTCACTTCGAGAAAAAAGCACACACCTAGCAAGCCTAAAGTGCAATGAGCCCGGAAAGTATTAGGATATTTATTTAGAATACTACAGATTTACCATTGCAGATTCATTCAAGCACTTATGATTCAAAAACACTAGTATTTACTATACATTATTATGGATGGATGGATGGATGGATGGATGGATGGATGGATGGATGGATGGATGGATGGATGGATGGATGAATAAGAATTATAGATGGAACGATAAATGGATGGAACGATAAATGATAAGAGGGATGGAGAGATAGAAAAATGGATAGGTGGATAGATGGATGGACAGATGGATGGATAGAACATTGGATAGATAAATATAACGATAGATAGATAGATAGATAGATAGATAGATAGATAGATAGATAGATAGATAGATAGATAGATAGATAGATAGATAGATAGATAGATAGATAGATAGATAGATAAGAATTATAGATGGATGGAACGATAAATGATAAGAGGGATGGATAGATAGAAAAATGGATAGGTGGATGGATGGATGGACAGATGGATGGATAGAACATTGGATAAATAAATATAACTAGAGATAGATAGATAGATAGATAGATAGATAGATAGATAGATAGATAGATAGATAGATAGATAGATAGATAGATAGATAGATAGATAGATAGATAGATAGATAGATAGATAGATAAGAATTATAGATGGAATGATAAATGGATGGAACGATAGATGATAAGATGGATGGATAGATAGAAAAATGGATGGATGGGTGGATGGATAGATAGATAGATAGATAGATAGATAGATAGATAGATAGATAGATAGATAGATAGATAGATAGATAGATAGATAGATAGATAGATAGATAGATAGATAGATAGATAGATAGATAGATAGATAAGAATTATAGATAGATAAGAATTATAGATGGAATGATAAATGGATGGAACGATAGATGATAAGATGGATGGATAGATAGAAAGATGGATGGATGGGTGGATGGATAGATAGATAGATAGATAGATAGATAGATAGATAGATAGATAGATAGATAGATAGATAGATAGATAGATAGATAGATAGATAGATAGATAGATAAGAATTATAGATAGATAAGAATTATAGATGGAATGATAAATGGATGGAACGATAGATGATAAGATGGATGGATAGATAGAAAAATGGATGGATGGGTGGATAGATAGATAGATAGATAGATAGATAGATAGATAGATAGATAGATAGATAGATAGATAGATAGATAGATAGATAGATAGATAGATAGATAGATAGATAGATAGATAGATAGCATTGACAGAAGATCATAAAAATGTAATAGACAGACAGGTTGTCAGAAGAAACAGGGTCAGGAAACCTAAAACACGACCGCGATTACAGGCACGCGCACGGGGGCGCGCAGAGTTCATCTGACTGAAAGTTTCGTCTTGCGTTATTCCGCTTGTTACCTACCACGAAAGCTATAAAAACCTCGGCTTAAATAGGGTTAGTCTTTAATATTGGATGGGTTAAATGTTTTGGACATTTGTGTTTATTGCTGTTTTTCCTGAAACGTGGAGGAAAATGTTTTACGCACTCGTTTTGTTCTGTTTCTGTTTTGAACGCCGATCTGGTAAGTTATTCATGTTTTTATGGCTTCTGTTCTTTATGATCTGGATTTATTAAACAAATTATTTTATTATTTTTGACAATACCCAGATGCTTAACAAAACCAGGTTGTACCAATTGAAAAGTTTAGATACAGAAGCCTCTAAAATCCGTCAGAAATATTCTTCTAATTTGAGCTTTTTCTCGGGCTCCTCTGTTTATGAAGAGTGATTTCACTTTTATGGTGATGAATAGGTATTTAAGTGAAATTACTGAACACAAACATATGACAAAATGCTAATTTTACAAGAAACTTTCAGACGACTCTTCAAATAATCTGCAGTTCAGTACCAGGTCATGTCCCAATGTTCTCCAGGTGTGTTTGGTGCGAAGACAAATGAAATTAAACTGGTGTTGGAGGGAGATACGGTAACATTACCGGCTGAGGTACACGGAGATGAGCTGCTAATTTGGAGGTTTGGACCGGACGGGACAATGATTGCAAAGTTTAGTAAGAAAAACGGAGAATACGTCATAATGCCTGTCGAGAGATTCAGCAGCAGACTGATGCCGGAGTACGAAACTGGATCTCTGATTATCAGAAACATCAGAACTGAGCACGCTGGGCTTTATCAGCTACAGACCATCAGTTCCACAGTCTCAACGAAGACATTCACTGTTTCTGTCTATGGTGAGCAAGAATACATGTTAAACTGTAATCACAAACACTATAAATGTCTAAAAACTTAACTTATTATCTTCCAGCTCGTCCACCCATTCCTGTCATCACCAGAGACTATTCGCTATGTTCTTCATCAACATCTTCCCCATCACCCTCAGCACCATTCCAGTGTTCACTAGTGTGTTCAGTGGTGAATGTAAGCGCTGTGAGTCTCTCCTGGTACAAAGGAAACAGTGTATTGTCCAAGATCAGTGTGTCTGACCTCAGCAGCAGCGTATCTTTACCTCTGGAGTTGGAATATCAGGATAAAAACACCTACAGCTGTGTGGTCAACAATCCCGTCAGCAACCAGACCACACATCTGGACATCGACATACTCTGTCAACCTTGTCCAGGTATGTCAGTGATTGTATTAATGCATATAATATTACAGTTTTTCTTGATTGCTTTGATGCAGCCGTCAACTGAAACTCCATATTTTCAAAACAGTTAACACACAGACCTAAACAGCGGCACTCATGGTCAAAATGACACATTTTGCTTGCAAAAGGCACATACCGCGTCAAAATATTTAAAATATGCAACAAAAGCTAGTTTTACCTTTAAACAACACAGCTTGCAAACAAGTATATGAGCTCTTACAATTAATCATTACACAATGGACAACAAAATACAAAATACAGAACTCGGTGTGAATCAGTGCACCATTGCTTGCCATTTGCCAATGCCATTTGTTGTGTTTTATTTGGGCTGTCAAATTTGCCTTTTTGCAAAAAATTGGGTCCAGAATAAGAATTGCTTTAAATAAATCAGTGGTTCTCAACTAGTTTGGCCATGGGACCCACATTTTTACTTGGTCATCAAGCCGCGACCCAAATTTTTAGGAACTATAATACAGTTTTAGGAATTAAATTTAATTTGTATTTATTTGTTAACATAAACAAGGAGTGACTGATAAATCGTAAGAAAATCACCAAGACTTACAAATAAACAATATTTTATTGCTGTCATTTAACAAAATGTATCAAATTATAGAAATATTACAAAGTAAAAACGACAAATACTGTAAACAGTGGTTAGGGTAAGGATAGGTTCTGTTACCATGAACTAAACTGTTAATAAAAAGTATTGTCTGGTTTCTAAACACCCTTTTAATTTAGACGGTTTCGTGCTCTCTTGTGAGAGCACGTAGCTGCTTATGACAAACTGACGCTTTAAGTCTTTTTTCCCATTAATATATGTAAATCCATACTTTACATATTCGGGGTCGTTCTTGTGCTTTGACATATCTTTTGCTATAATTAAATTAAATTTCACATGTCAAACGGCAGGGTTGTCGTGCACGCATTTCAAAATAAAAGTCAAAATAAGTTTAAAATTAAACTTTTGTTGTTGTTTTTTTTTTTTTGACCACACACTCTGACCACCCACTGAAAATGTGGGTCGCGATCCACCAGTTGAGAAACACTAGAATAAATTATATTAAGTTCATGACATTTTTTTTTTTTCAAACTGTGGCTGAAAACTGAAATACTGTAAAAAAAAAAAAAAAAAAAAAGACAAAAGTAAAAAAATACTGCAAATATTAGAGTTAACACATGTAAACCAATATAAAGTCAAATCTATTGGGAGTATAGGACATAGCCACATAGCCACCTCCTCCATCCTTGCTGGCACAGAACAACACAGACCTTCCACCATTTTTAATGTTTGCGAACTGATTGCTAATTGAAGATCTGTGTAAAGGAGTGTCAAACCGGTGCTTCAGTGAATTCATACTGATCTTGGTAGTTTCTAATGGTTAGAAACAGAGGGTTTCTGTTTGGTTACCACAGCTAAAACAATGAAGTTTGGACTGCTTGAATGACATCCGTGTTAACTGTTTTGAAAAACGGTGGGGAAAATGTGTCAACCCAATGAGAAATGGTTTATACATTTGCAAGACCTGTCTTCTGCTCTGCTGGGATAGTGATGATGAAAATGAAGTGGAACTTAGTTTCTTTAACCAGGTCAAAGCAAACAAGAACAACTCTAAACCACAGCATCACCTATGCACATTGGCTGAAACGTCCTTTTATTGTCAACTGAGTTCTTATTTATTATGCAGTAGAAAATACAAAAAAACAAAAAAAAAGAATATTGTAATTGCATTTTTAATAGGAAACTGATTTGTTGTAATTGTAACTCTCTTCACAACAACACAGACACAGGTTGTTACTCCAGAACGGGCGTTTATTTAAGGTCGTCCATAATGTGCTTTGCGGCTGTCGCCGTGACGCCATGACGCCGTGAGAACTGTATTAGTAAATGAACACAGTACAAACGTATAAGAAATTTCACAAACCACGATTATCTAATACATTAAATAAGCAAAACAAATACCTCGTTGGTCGCTTGTCATGAAAAGAGGGTCCTTGGATTAATAAAGTCTTCTTCACTGTCCTTTGGCTTATGACAGCAGAAACTTTATGCTTCTTAAAGACATGTAAATTTACACAGCACTGACATGCGTCTGATCATCGTCAGTCTATCCGGTGACCCATAAATAAGTCACTCACATTACACGTCATTTCCTCAAAGTGACAAGTTTCCATAAAAAATGTCTTAAAGTACAACATATGAAATAATAACACATTTAAACCTTTCAACACATTTACATTTATAAATACACTTCAGCTAAATTAATACAAAATATTATGACCTTAAATTACTAAAGAATGAAATATGAAACAAATACGTAAAATAAATATGCGATTATGCAAAAATGCTCAATAACAGCATTTACAGTAATTAAAATTTTTTAAATATTATTGAAAAGAGACAGCTGGAGAGCCACATTTTTTTATTTTTATCAAAGAGCCACATGTGGCTCCAGAGCCATAGGTTCCCTACCCCTGCTTTAAAGCAGTGGTTCTCAAATGAGCGGGGGGTTGCTTGATGATTTCCAAAAGTCTCATTCATTTCATTCATTCATTGTCTTGTCGGCTTAGTCCCGTTATTAATCCGGGTTAGCCACAGCAGAATGAACCGCCAACTTATCCAGCACGTTTTTATGCAGGGGATGCCCTTCCAGCCGCTACCCATCTCTGGGAAACATCCACAAATACTCATTCACACACACACACTCATACACTACGGACAATTTAGCCTACCCAATTCACCTGTATCGCATGTCTTTGGACTGTGGGGGATACCAGAGCACCCGGAGGAAACCCACGGGAACGCAGGAAGAACATGCAAACTTGAATGGACTGTTATGAAATTGATGGCTAGTTTGTCACATTCATGCCATTTTTTTTTTTTTTTTTGTATTTTAAGTTTTACCAAAGAATTAATTGTAATATCGAGCAAAGTTATTAAAGACAGAACATTTTCACGGATATTAACCTGTCTGTCTTGCTCAGCACACATTTCAAACTAGTTTTGCTGTATTTGTTTGATAGAAAATCACCAGTTTTTCCTTATTAACTATTTGCCAATAGCCTTACAGTTCATCTAATTTATTAAACTTTTGGAATTATCATAATTTATCAATTATTATCTTTTATTTGCGAGCCCTGGGGTTATTATGCTCGATTAACATCACAGCAATAGCGTTAGTTGCAGCAGATTGATTTTGCGGTACAATATTAAACCTTGACACCTTTACAGCACTCACATACATTAAAAAATAAAGCCCCCCCCGAACAAGGAGGATGATCTCCAAGTGGCTCAAAGTCTTCAATACTAAACCAAAAACAGTTTTGTGCTATAAACATTGTGCTCACCATTCTCATTAAGTGAGGTTAATATTAACTTAAACAAATTAATAATGATTATAAGAAAAGAGATGGTTGTAAGACTGTTGCACTCTTTTTGTGTTGACAATATGCTTATGTTTATATTGTTGCTATTAGTGTGTGTGTGCACCATTGTGAGCAATATTTGTATGCTGATAACAACCTCCGAGCATGGTGAGGGTCCAAGTTACTGGAGTTGTTATTTAAGGGGTCGCGGGCTGAAAAGTTTGGGTAAACCTGCTTTAAAGCATCAACACTGTCATCTGTATTCTCTCATGTTTTCTAGCTCCTCTGCCAATTCCCGTCATCAACACCACAGATTCTCCACAATGTCCTTCATCTGCATCACTCCAGCAGTGTTCACTAGTGTGTTCAGTGGTGAGCGTGAGTGCTGTGAGTCTCTCCTGGTACAAAGGAAACAGTTTAATGTCCAGCATCAGTGCGTCTGATCTCAGCATCAGTCTCTCTCTACCTCTGGAGGTGGAATATCAGGATAAAAACACCTACAGCTGTGTGGTCAACAACACTATAATGAACCTTACTCGACATCTGGACATGGACACACTCTGTCAGTCATGTTCAGGTACTGCTCTTATTAGAAATCTGGCAAACTTGTCTTAACCTTTAATTATTAAGAGGTGTTTTTTTCTTTCCTCAGACCGCGTTCACTGTTGTGGCTTTACTGAAACCGTGATCCGATTGGTTGCCTCTGCTGTAGTGGGCGTGGCTGTTATTGCTGTGCTGGTTTATGATGTCAGATCCAGCAGATCTTACCAGAAGAGGAGACTGCAGACGGCATCAGGGCAAGCAGATGATTATGATGATGTCGCAACAGCTCACTAGGTGGCGATGATGTCGCCTTTGTCTGTTATGGCTGTCGGAAATATTCCAGGTTAAATGCATTCACAGGAATGATCTGATGGACGCTTGGGGTTTTAACCCTTCGCTGACTGATCGTAGTGCCATCTGGTGGTTATTTGTGGCACTTGTTTTTTTATTCCACATATAGGCTGCGTGTATGTTGTTGTGTTTATTTTCGCTGCACTTTTTGATATAAATATACATTTTTTTATACCTCAATAAGTTTATTTTTATATGTTGTTTAATTATTTGTTGTTAATTTACATATTATGTAAAATCCTTGAATGGACTGTTATGAAATTGATGGCTTGTTTGTCACATTCATGCCATTTTTTTTTTGTATTTTAAGTTATCCCAAAGAATTAATTGTAATATCGAGCAAAGTTATTAAAGACAGAACATTTTCACGGATATTAACCTGTCTGTCTTGCTCAGCATGCATTTCAAATTAGTTTTGCTGTATTTGTTTAATAGGAAATCACCAGTTTTTCCTTATTAACTATTTGCCAATAGCCTTACAGTTCATCTAATTTCAACTTGTTGCAACGTATTCATTCAATCAGGGGTGGCCACAGCGGAATGAACCGCCAGCAACTTAAATATTTATAATTATTTTATTATATTCATTAATTTTCTTTTCGGCTTAGTCCCTTTATTAACCTGGGGTTGAAATTCTAATATAAAACTTGACACAAAAATGTAGAATAAGTGCCAAGTATGATATCTATATGTTTTCACACACACAAAAACATAATTGTAACACTTAAACATTAAGTGACATCTGCTGAGACAGTCGAGTGGTTTACTAAACATTAAAGGAATATGTCTATTTAGTGTGAAATAAAATAGTAAACATTTAGTTAACTTGTAAACAGTCTATAAACTTTCAATGAGGCCTGTTTGATTGGACTGTCAGAATTCTAAGTGGGGGAAAAAGTGTTAAACAAAATAAATATTATGCTATAATATGCAATTTAATACAATTTTCAACTTTTTTCCAATTTAGTTATAACCAAAAAGTGTTTAGGAAAGATTTTCTGACCATTATCTGATTATTAACGTGTGTAAGGCACTCACAACAGAATTTCTGAACCAAAAACATTTTAAAATCAACCAAATACTAAAATAATTATAGCTGGCATTCGTTTTCTTTTCGGCTTAGTCCCTTTATTAATCATGGGTCGCCACAGTGGAATGAACCACCAACTTATCCAGCATGTGTTTTATGCAGTGGATGCCCTTCCAGCGCAAACCATCACTAGGAAACACCCATAGACTTTTGCATTCACACATTTAAATTATGGACAATTTGAGCTCACCCAATTCACCTGTACCACATGTCTTTGGACTTGTGGGGAAAACTGGAACACCCGGATGAAACCCAGACAAACATGGGGAGTTTATTACATAAATATTATTAATATATTTCATATTTATTAAATTATTATTTTATAACAAGGTTATTTAGTACATTTTCCAGAATAAAGGATGCTAACATCATAATTAAGTTCAAATATAATTCAGATTCAGGTTTAGATGTACTGTATATGTACAGATGGTGGCATTAAACTTTCTATTACAAAATAAAGGCTATTATTGTAAAACAACAAGACAACAAGTAAAATCTCAGCTATTTTCATTTTATTTTCTCTTAAGATCGCAACATAGCAGTACATTAAATACAATAAAATAGAGGTACAAAGGTACAAATTACAGTATAGAAGTGTATAAACATTCAGTTTCCATGTACAAATACTCTGTTTCACTTCATTCATTCATTTTACTTTGGCTTAGTCTCTTTATTCATCAGGGATCGCCACAGCGGAATGAACCGCCAACTTATCCATGTTTTACACATTGGATGCCCTTCCAGCTGCAACCCAGTACTGTAAAACACCCACATACACTCATTCTCACACACACACTCATACACTACGGCCAATTTCAGTCATTCATTCGTTTTCTTTTTGGCTTAGTCCCTTTATTAATTAGGGGTTGCCACAGCGAAATGAACCACAACTTATCCAGAGTATGTTTTACACAGCGGATGCCCTACCGGCTGCAACCCAGTACTGGGACACACCCATACACACTCATTCACACACACGCACACACACACACACACTAGGGCCATTTTAGTTTATTCCAGGGGTCACCAAACTTGTTCCTGGAGGGCCGGTGTCCTGCCGATTTTAGCTCCAACCCTAATCAAACACACCTGAACAAGCTAATCAAGGTCTTACTGGGTATACTTGAAACACCCAGGCAGGTGTGTTAAGGCAAGTTGGAGGTAAACACCGGAGGGACACCGGCCCTCCAGGACCGAGATTGGTGACCCCTGGTTTATTCAATTCACCAATAGTGCATTTCTTTGGACTGTAGGAGAAAGCGGAACAACCGGAGGAAACCCACACCAACATGAGGAGAACATGCCAACTGGCCCAGCTGGGACTATAACCAGCGATCTTTCTGCTGTGAGGTAATAGAGCTAACCACTAAGCCACTTCATTGAATACATATTTTAAATCCTCTGGAATGTTTTTATATTAATCAACTATGATTTAAATCAGGGGTGTCCAAACTTTTTCTTATGAAGGGCCAAAACCCAAAGTTGATCGATGGCTGTTGGTCGGAGGTAAATATACCAAACTGTTTCACATTAAAGTTTTCCTAATTAATTTCCTAATATTTAAAAATAGCTACAAATCATTGCATTGCTTTAAATAATATTAACTAATACAGTATATTTAGATTTTTTTTATTATGAACTTATTACATTAAAAACATAATCCTTTTAATAACATAATGGAATTTAATGCTAAATACACTAAGCTGCACCTGCCTTTGACTTGATTTGCTTGCCGATGTCCTGTACATTGCCTTCTATCTATCAAATGACAGTATTTACATTTTTAAAAATTAGATTCATTTAAAAAAACAAAAAGAAACTACAAAGCAAACAAACAAAAGGTTACATTTAATTTGAAAAGACAATCTCTGTCAAAAGATTTTCGCCCCAACCCCCTCTCCCTCGTACTCTTTTTCTCGAATGGTATGATGGGTCAAATCAAAAGTTAACATTGGGCCAACTTTGGCCGGCGAGCCCTAGTTTAGACATCTTTGATTTAAATCAAGCATATTAATAAACTCTGATTCAAAGTCATAGTACATAATGCACTGTTTTAAACAGGAATAAACACACATCATAAAAGAGCGATTACATGTTCTATCTGAGTTAAATAGCTGAAGTCAGAATTATTAGCCCCCATTGACTTTTTTCTGTTTTTTAAATATTTCCAAAATTATGTTTGTGTAATAATATTTTTCTTCAGTAAAAAGTCTTATTTGTTTTATTTTCGCTGAAATAAAAGCAGTTTTTAATTTTTTAAAAGGTCGAAATTATTAACCCCTTTAAGCTATATTTTGTATAGATAGCCTACAGAACAAACCATCATTATACAATAACTTGCTTAATTATCCAAACCTGCCTAGTTAACATAATTAACCTATTAAACCTTTAAATGGCACTTTAAGCTGTATCGAAGTGTCTTGAAAAATATCTAGTAAAACATTATTTACTGTCATCATGGCAAAGAACAAATAAATCAATTATTAGAAATGAGTTATTAAAACTATTATGTTTAAAAATGTGTTGAAAAAAAATCTTCTCTTCATTAAACAGAAATTTGCGAGAAAAAAAACAGGGGGGCTAATAATTCAGGGGGGCTAATCATTCAGGGGGGCACATAATTCTGATTTCAACTGTATATATTAAAACGAATCTGTTGATATTTTATAGTGTTATGGATCAATATAACACATTTAGGTACTGTAATTCAGTCTTTCTCCATTCCAGACCTCCCGTCTCCATCATCTGAAATCAACCGCTGCTGGATCCCGGACCATCATGAATGCAGGAAAGATAAAAAATAAAAGTGGTTAGAGTTATCCTACGGTGGACAAATTTATGGATTTAACAGTAGTTAAAATTAGTACATACACTCAAAACCATTGCATGCTGCTTGTTCAAACTACTTATTTACAATGAGCCAAATCAACACAATTATTGAGGGTTTTTGTGGGATAACTTTATTGTATTATGTTCAACCAACTTAAATTTGTAAAAACAATTAGGTTAACTTAAACAATTGCTGAGACAACATGAAGGAATTGTGTGAAATCTTGCATTTTTTCACAGCGTATAATGTAAATTTGTAGACTTATAAGATGGCATCATGGTAACAAGAGTAAATTGGTCAAAATCTGGTGGCAACAATGTTCAACTTTTTTTTGCATTTTTGTTTTTCATGTGACATTGCGTCAACCAGGCAATATTACATAAGTTTTGAGTATTTAAATAAAATTTTTATTCATAAACAAAAGTTGAATAATCTATCGCACAGCAATGCATATGACATGAAAGCCATTATTCATTATGGAGCAATCCAACTATGTCTATTTTTTTTTAGATCAGGCTTAAATTTACCAATATGAATTGTATAACACGTTTAACACATCACGCCAGCTTTAAAGAAGAAAATATAAAGCTGAATATCACTTATTTAATAATTTCCTGATATAATCAACTGAAAAAAAAACATGTAAATGGAAACAACAAAGGGCCTAAGACTAACCCCTGTGGCACACCACACTTTCCTGTTTTATGTTCAGCATCTGTTCATTTACGAAACCAGCAAGGTGGTTATCTGTCAAAGAATCTCTTAGACAGACAGCCATCTTATCCACAAATATCAATGTGAATCTTAAATATACTCAAATTAGCTTTAAAGACAGTTATAAACATTGTAAAGTCCAACTCAAGTGCTAAAATTACTAATTTGTTTGAAAAACTTCGGCCCAACTAGATTAGTAACATTTAGACAGATTGATTTTTTTTTATGACAAACATTTCTTACAATATTTTACAACCAAAACTCAAGATTTTCTCTCGTTATTTTTTTACGGTCGATTAAGAAAGACTCCCACTCTTTTCCCGACAAAAGCAGGTGTAGGAGTATTTCGGTGGGGGCGGGTTGTTTGCGCATGTATGGTTTTCGTACGGTAGGTGGCGATATGAGACTGTCCCGCGTCACGTTACCTGGCAGAGGGAAGATTCAGCCATTTCGAGCGCTGTCTTTTATTTGTAACACTACTGGACGTAAACCATTTCCACGTCTTAAGAAGCTGGGAGAACATCGCACGCAAACCTCCGCGAATTCACAAGTTTCTAAGCCATTATTTAAGCGGTTTTTGTAATTGTCGCTATCAATCTGGCAGGGTGCGGTTGAGAAACCAGAACACGGCGGATTTATATGGAAATTTAAAGCTACGGCCTTCATCTTTTTAAAGCTTCACTTAAATTACTCAACTCAACAATCAACATGGACTACGCGAATTTGACATTTTTTGTGTTGTTACTCATCAAGGGTAAGTAGCGATTTTATTTGTGTAGCTATATGACACTTTCGATTTTCATTAATACAACCGGAAATATACTAGCATATTGCGTATTTGCTTTTGCGTACATTCCTATTTGTGTTTGTTAGCCTGCTCGTAACGAGTGTTTTTATTGGTAAACTATACAATGAATAGGTAAAAAAAAATTGTGTCCTGCATATTTTGCGTTATTTTCCTTTATGAAGCCCACGACACCATTGGCTTTCAAGTTCAGGCCTTGCGGTAATGATTTTCAGCCTTTTGGAGATCGATGTCCAATTCACGTCGAGTCTATGTGTCGTGTGTGTATTGTGTGCTGTTCAGGTACATTTAATCCACATTTTTAGGTGTCAATTTGTGCATTTTTCTGAGTGGTTAATTTTTTTTAGCAATCAGACTTCCGGGGGTAGGCCTTATTTGTTTAATGCTGTCATTAATCTGTTTTTTACATGCATTGTTCCTATTTAAGTTAGCTATTCAGGCTCGGATTATTTCTGGTGAATTCATATTATAAGATATACAAGGATAAAGGCTCGTGTTTTATTGTGGTTTCTGTTGCCTACGCATGTAGCTAGCCAATGTGTTCTTGTTTTTTTCCCCTTTCAATGGAATTTGACTCACATTTTGTTAACAAATAAAACGCGCAGTTTAGACTAGGTATTTGATGATGCGTCATGTTTCACATAAGCTGTTATATCGATGGCGTTTCATGGTCGTGTTAAGCTATACGATCCCTTTAATATTTCAAGTAGGCTATTTAGTGTTGTAATGATAATCTTACAAGTGGAATCGACATTTCAATATCAAACAATGTGATACGATTCTTGTTTATTTTTTTAATGGTTATGTAGCCTAATTGTCGAATTATTAAGTAAAATGGCAGGATGTTTATCAAATTGCCTTAAAAATATATAAAACAAATATTTATGTAGGCCTCGTAATTTGCTAAATATCTAAAATAACGTCTGTAAAAAGGCCTATGTCGTGTTAAATATATCAATTGTTGGATAGTTAGGCTAGGCATAAATCATTTAGTTACACGTAATGCAGCTAATTTATGCAGATAATGTGTAATTCGTTTGTGAGGATAAACAAAAGCCTTCACAAGGTAAATCCATCAGGATATCAATGCGTGGCAATTTTCGCATGGATGAGTGCACGTGTGCGCTCCTGCAATGTTTTGACAAACATCAATACTGAAGGGGGCGATAGGGATACTTTTGGTTGCGGATGTAACAACCGGATGTGTTGTTATGCAGGTAAGATTAAACAAACCGGCTTAATGCATGGGATATAGTTTGATTAAAAATGTCACTTTCAGTCTGTTGCTACTATTCAGTTTATACAAAACAAAAACTGCGCACTGATTCCTGATAATGCGACCTCTGTATTGCATTTGCGTAGCGTTTCAGAGCGCAACGGCGCGATGTATTTCGCCACGTTGTTTGTGTTTAGGAAATTGAGGAAATATTGATATTATATAGGCTACTAACTGTTTGGGAAATCTTGCTTTGGTTGAAATGTAAGTGTAGCTCGTGTAGGGGATGGTCAATGTTAATGTTTGAGCGGGTGGTCAGTATGGAATATTACATGTTTTGTTGTGTTTTTTTACGTCTGTGGCAATGCTTGTATAAACCGTGCATATTCATATGATGACATGGCATTGCAGTTTATATTTATTTAACCACAAATACGGTTATTTATTTGATTCCCAGATAATTGGTGAACTACTGCAATTTATAATTTAAACGCAATACAAGCCTACAAAACACTTTTTTTTAGCTCTGTTGTTTTCAGATAAAGGTCACAAGATCATTTGAGGACATAATGGAATAGATTTTAAACTATTTTGCATGCTTGATGCTGGATTGCTTTCTATGTTTTGGATTTTAGTGATCAACTAGCAAATTATAACAGACTATGTATGGAACGAAAGTAAATGTTTGAGGAGTTGTTAAGGTTGTCTGCATGATATTGTAGGTTTATAACAAGTTGTAGAATGTAGAGGATTATATTGCATATATTGTTTTCCCCCCCACTAAGAATCAAACCCATGACCTTTATGTGTTCTAGGGCCATATGCTGATATTTGAGCTTAAAGAACTCTTGATACTGTATATCCATCACTTCACTGGGAAAACTGATTAGCTGGAAGCCAGATTTAGTACTTCTTACAGGTCTTGTTTTAAGATAAAGCTTTTGAAAAGCATAAATACCCCATGTTAATTTTGAGGTCTGGGGTTTTACCCAGGGATGTTAATTTAATTTCAAGTAGGAATCATATGACATAATTACTATCCTCAATGCAAAAGGCTATGCAGTTTTCTATCATTTATTCAATGTATTCCATTTTTAAAATATAATTTAGGAGGTCATTAAAAAGATAGTTTAAAGTACTGGGCAATTTGGCCTGTAATCAAAATCTCGGTTGATTGAACATTTTAACTCGATTATGATTAATGAACGATTATTTTATTTATTTATTTTCTGCCCTCATAGTTCACTGACAGGCATTGTACAGTAAATATGCGCACATATTACAAGTGAGAGATTTCTGAATAAAGGGTGCATTATTTGATTGTAAAATAATTGAAGGAAACATGCAAATAATCATCTACTGTCTATGATTATTTATTGAATATAAACGTTGACCAACTGAAATTGAAAACACACATTGCTTAAAACCAACAATCACCATTTTGCCAATACAAAAGCTAAAAAAAAATAACTTGCCCTCTTGAAAGCAAAATTAATTATTTTCTAAGGTTTTTCATATTAAAATTAGAAAACAAACAGTGCCTCTTCTAAATAAAACAACTCTTGTATATCCTGTAAATAATATTTGAAACAGTGCATTTCTTGCATCTTCTGTAAACAAATATTTTAATGTAAATGATTATATTGTAATGGAAAATATGCCATCTCAAGGCATCTCTGGTGCAGCTTTCAATTATCGTCAATGTAGTGCAAACGTGCAACGTGTAGTTACTAGGGGTGTAACGATACACTCAGCTCACGATACGATGTGTATCACGGTATAATGTTCACGATTCGATATGTATCACAATATTTGGAATAAAAATTTTAAATTAAACTGAAATGCAAATTTTACCAAGTAAACTATTTTTTTATGTATTTCTTTTGTTTCAACTTGTTAAACTGAACCTTCTTTAGGAAAATAAATTAAACAGGCCTGTCTCTGGAAAATAAAACAATTTAAAAACTACTTAAAAATATTATTGAAATGACAGAAACAAAATTAAGGAACAATTTAAGTATAGGTGCAAAAAAATAAGCTTTCTGTTCAATTGAATTTAACAGTAAGAGCTTAAGGCTTTGCTTGGTCACTTGCGTTTTTTGTGTGTGCAAAAAAAATCCACATTTCCAGGTATTTAATTCATATTTAATTAAATTCATTTAGAGATATCTCTAATTACAATTGTGATTAGTCAAAACTCATTTAGAGATATCTGCAAATATTTTTCGATGGAAGTCAATGGAGGAATATGACTAGTCATAATATATTTGCAGATATCTCTAATTGTCATTCTGACTAGTCGAATTATAATTATGACTAGTCAAAATATAATTAGAGATATCTCTAAATATATTTATGGATAGTCAGAACAAAGGTTTAAATGCTAAAACGGCTTGCCATACGCGCGCATCTATCATAGTCTGCCCTCTGTAGTAACAGCTCTCGGTCAGCTCACGTCATGTGTGATTTTGCGGCGGGAACATTATATGAAGACAGAATGATATTTTAGGGTGAATTGTACCTTATAAATACAGTATGTGACTCTTTCAACACCATTAGGAGGTATCCATGTCGCTGTGCAAAGTATGTAAATCAATGTGAAGACTTTAAAACTTAGGATGTTTGACCCAGTATGCATGTCAAAAAGCAGACGAGTCTAAAGCAATGACTGTACAACCGAAATGTTGCCAGACTTCTGATTTTGAAAGGATGGGCCATCCTCTATTTCAACTCCACTCATCTTGGTCCGCTAACATTACTGCTGCGGCAATCTGAACTCGCGTGCGACAGCAGGTGGAACGTAGCTCGCGTGCAAACAGCTCAACTAATAAGAGAAAACGGACGTCATATCGTAATCAAATCGTCATAACGCCACGATGCATATTGTGACATTTTTGTACCACAATAAATCGTACAACGATAAATCGTTACACCCCTAGTAGTTACGTTTTTTGAGAAGTGCGCAGGTATGCAACAGCATAAAGGCTGCCGACCATATCCGTGCGCTCGACACAAGTATACATTCGCCTTAACAGTGTAAGGTCATGTGACTCCACACACGGTATTTTACAAATCTTACTAATTTATAGATCATACGCTCTGAGTTTTGATTACTTTTTCAATTTATAATACAGCTCTAATAGTTCACCAAAGAAAATGAAGATTTACTCACTAAAAACCTGTAGCCATTGACTATTGAAATTGACTATTGTAGGGAAAACAAATACTAATGAAATTCAATGACTACAGATTTGCAACTTTTATTAAGTTATCTTCATTTGTGTTCTACAAGAAAGAAACTCATTAAATTTAAAAGTCATTTATGACCATATTTATTTATTTTTTGGGGGTAAACTATCTCTTTAATATTATGTTAGAAGTCTGCCTAGACGTGTACTCCATGTAAATGTTTGTGATCTGATTGGCCAGTCTCTTTTTGCTGCATACAAATGTAGTAAATAGGGATTCCGGTAATAAGACATTTTGAAGCTCTGCACTTGTGAAAGATCTTCAAAAGCCCTTCCCCCAGCAAAAGCCTGTGACATTCCCATAAAAGACGTAACTGATAGCAGGGAGAAAAGAGGCCCTTCTGTTTCGATGAAACCCTATGGAGGAGAGGCCTCAACATGCAGAACTAAATTCTCATGAGTGGAAACGTAATGAGGTAACTCACGCTAAAAAAAAAAAAACTTCTGCATTTTGCATTTTCATTAGGGTTAATCTGTTCCTCATCATGGATAAAGCTCACAAGGCATTACATTTAAAGACATAGTTTACTCCCCAAAAAATAAATTATCATGATTTATCTAACCTATACTTAATCTAAACCTATTTTGTGTGTGTGTGTGTGTGTGTGTGTTTTTTTTTAAACACAAAAGAAGACAAACTGTTGGAAAACTGTAACCACCTTCCATAGTACTTGTTTTTCCTATAATGTAAGTCAATGGTTAAAGTTTTTCAGCTTTCTTTAAAATTTCTTATTTTATGTTTAACAGAAGAATCACTAAAACCACTGAAGGGAGAGTAAACAGTGAGAATTTTAAATTTTTGTGTAAATTATCCCTTTTGAAAATTTACTTATTCACTGTTTCAAAACTTCACATATGTCCTGTCTTGTGACATGTTAAAAAATATATTTTTATTTATTTAATTATTGTACATTATATTGTGCATCCATGGCTTCATAATAAGGATAGTACATTACATATTTAGTCTGAGTGAATTACAAGAATAGTAAAGTATGTTTATGATACGTTCAGACTGTGGCACGTTACAGCAGGAGACTTAAATTCTTTGCAGTGACCTGACCTAAGAGTCAAGCATGTTCATACTTGCAAGTCCTTACATCATTTTCCTGAAAATGTCCTGCAGATATACAGTATTTCCCTTGTTGGGTTTCATTTCATTTTAATGTTGAATCGTTTTCTAACCAACACTGTATTTATTTGACCGGAAATCCAGTACAAACTATAGCACTATGATATATTCGTGCAATATGATATATTTTCTATTTCATTGTTTTAAAATAATAATAATAATAATATTTTTTTATATAATGCCCTTTTCTAAAACCCAAAATGCTAACTTTTTTTTTACTTTTTCCTGTGATGCAAAACAAAAACTTTTATATTGTCATTGAAACTAAGTGTGACATTTGTCCTTGGGAAGCATTTTTCAGGACAAATAAAAAGTTCTCAAGGACAGCATTTTTAAAGAAACCTTTTAGAATCATTACAGATGTCTTTTTATGGTCATATTTGATAAATGTAATGCACATTTGTTAAATAAAATCATTAATCTATTAAACAAACACAACCTAAACATCTGAGTGGTAGCTTTCTTTGTAGATTTTGTATTTGACAACAAAACTGTTTTTAACATTAACATGCTATATCAGCAGCAAATCAGCACAATTTGTTTGAAAGATCATTTCAGACTGAAGTAAAATCCACTTTGAAGCACAGAGAAAAAAAATACATTTTAAAATATAGCATGTTTTATACAGTGCTCAGCATAAAAATACATAACAGAGTACACCCCATTTTGAAAAGGAATATTTGTATACATTTCTCAGTGAATGTAATCTATTTTGGTGGATTAGAACAAAACC